TCAGCAGTGTTATTGGGAGACCTGTAAGAGAAAGGAAAGGAATTATTTTCTTACCATCCTCACGGATCTAACTGATATTGATAATCCTTGATGGTAGAGTAGATGTCCAAGGCCTTTCTGTGTAATTGTGAGCTTGTGTCATGAAAGGCAAGAGGCCCGCTGATGGACTGTGGAGAATCACTTTTGTTTTTCAGTCACTTGTATGATGTAGCAAGTTGTGTATTAACAATAAAAGAAATCAAGGTTTTTATTTTTTTTTAGAAGCTGTTCATCATGCTTAATCATTTAGCGTGGAATTTTTAAAATGTCATTAAAATACCTGTCTGGTATTACTGCTGTTTTCTTTGACTGGCAGAATAGACTTTGTGTCATATGAGTAATGTTTCACTAATAACATACTTCAGGATACTAACATAGGACTAGACTCACTTCCTGTTTGAAGTGTTTAAGAGGAAATAAGTACTCGTCGTTAGACCATATCTATCTTCTGTTTAACTGTACCAGAGAAACAAATACCTTGGCAATGTGTTTTGGAAATTGCCACAATATGGAAACTGGTAGTTTTTGTAGTAAGGCTTATTTGATTTGTACTACTTATTTTCTAGGCAAGGTTATACGATGCTTGTTCTGGTTAGGGACACTTTAAAGTGCGGTCAAAAGCTTGTAAACAAGAACTGCTCAGGGAAGAACATGAGTAATAAGGTATTTGTAAAACGCAAGACTGCTAAAGTTTTGTAATGGTTTTGCAGGTATTACATACTTAGCAGCTGATGTTCATGTAACAAATGCAAACCCTTCTCTTTTACAGAATCGGACCATTTTCAGATTTGATCCAGCAGATGAAGACAAAAGAAAGGTAAGTAAAATAGGCTTTCGAGCTGCATACGTGCTCTGGTTAGAAGTATAAAAAAGTAAAAGCAGTCTCTTAACTTAGCTGCCATTGTCAAATGGTGCAAGAAGTGATTATAAAGTTCTATTTTAATTTTTGTTTATTCAGTGCAAGAGATATGACAACTACCCATTCCCCTTTTTTCTAAAAGAGAAAAGCAAATTCCCCTAGCAAAACCCCCTGTCTTGAATAAAAGTAGTAACAGAAAAGCCCATAAATAATTTTGTTGGGTACAGATTTGGGATGGGGTGGAGAAGTAGAGTAAAGATACTCTTTTGTATCTACTGAGATAAAAATTTTGCAATACATTTTTCCATTTTTTTCTCTTCTCAGCAGGTAGCAGTATCACAGGTGTATTTCTATGTTAGATACTTACAGAGTATTAGAGATTAAGATAAAGGGATACATACAGAAGAAAGCTATGGAGCTGTAAAGGAGACAGAGCTACAGAAGCCTGTTAATCCAAAGGTAGCTGTCATCAGCGGAATGTGTACTTTGCATGTCAGGTTCCAAAGATGGGAAATGTTTGTGAGTTATAGCATGAAGCTGTACAGGTCTGTCGGGGCTTAACGGGTCCCTTGAGATTCATCAACAGCCTCGAATTTAAAGCTTGGACATTGATATTTTTTTTTCTCTCTTTGTTTTTTTCCTGTTGTTATTTTTATGGCATAATGTGTAATGACAAGACCCTTCCTATCTTTTGTCTAATTAGGTTTTGGGCTGATTTGCATATTTATTCAGAAAATGTTCATTAGTGAATGACGCTGCATGTTTACGCTATTTGTGAAATAAACTCAAAGCTTGAAATCAGAATTGCAAGCTTCCTGCAAGGATAGCTTGTCTCAAATTGGATACACATTGATTCATTCCATGATTTTGTGCGAAATCTAAACTTTTTCAGATATTAAGTCTTTTTCTGGTAGAAATGGGTGGGATGGTAAGTGTCTCTGTCCTTTGCATATACAAAACCATCAGTTATGTGTACTGTGATCTTAAGTTACAGTTCATTATTACACAGATGACTCAAAGACCTCTTAGCTTGGCTTTATCTATGGCTTTACTCAAAGCTGACATTCAGTAATGTGGTGATGGACTATGTGTGTCCTTTCTGATCTACGGACGAACTCAGATGGGATCTTGATTTGATTTTCTTACTGTGTTTGTGTTCTTCCCTCTCTTTCCTCTTTATCCCTTCCACCTCTTTTTAAGTTGAGAATGAGAAAGTGGAAAAGAAAGTCTGGAAAACTGAATGATAAGTAGAGAACAGAGGAAAGGAGAATAGATCAGAAGCCAAATTGGCAAAAGACAATGAGTGTTGGGGGAGTGGGGGGATGTAGGATTTTCTGTGTGTAGGATTTTCTCTGTGTGTGGTTGGCTTTGTGTTTTGGGTGTTTTTTTTTTAACAGCTACTTAACTGCAAATGGTCGATATCCTTAGTATCTGTAAAACACTGAGCACTCTCATCCTTCAGTTAAGGTAAAAAATAAAAATGCTTTAAATTGAAAGGTAAAATAGTACATGCCCTTGCTAAGAGCAAGCTACTAATTTTGGTGACAACTTCAATGGGGGTTGCTTGAAGACTGCATGATGTAGCCTCATGCTAATTCAGAGACAAGTTCCATTTTTTTTGTTTAGTAGTACTAAAGTACACTTGAAGGGATAGTATTTGCAGTTCTGCTATTGCCTTAGAATGATTGCAGGGAGAGAGAGTTTAGACAAAGCATCACAATCCATAATGAAGTCATGTGCTAGACTTGAAGTTCAAGTATGGGGGCAAATACAGAGGGACTTCAGGATTTTGTCTTTGGTTTCTGGTGCTATTGGAAACTTGCCATATAACCTGATGAATGCAATATATACTTCTTGCCAGTCTCTTGCTGCATATTGGGTTTGTTCATGCCTAGGAGTAAATTTGCTTTTAGTTACTTCCTCCAGCAAGCCTCACAGACTTTGTTGTAAGTCATTCATGTCTATGCGAGAGTGCAAGTAAAAGATCAACAATAGCAATGCAAGTTTTTTTCTCTGCCTCACGTCACGGCTTCAGTCAGATCTTAGAATTACAGCAAGGTTGTGTCTATAGTGTAATTGTATTATAACATAGGTGTAACTGTGCTTTATGCTTTTCCAAGTTGGATACTGTTAGGAGAGGACAACCAGTATATAACAGTGACAAGCTGTAAAATATGAAAGACAGAAGGATCAAAACTGTGGCTTGACTATAGAAGCTGAGTAAATTGAGCAGCAAAACTTGTTCTGCCGTATTATGGTTATCAAACCACGGTGCTTGAGGCTGTAAACTATCTAAATCAGCAGTGAGTTTGTAATGCTGAACTCCAGGAGGAACGTAGGCTGTGTCCTCTAGAAGGCGGGAAGAGAGGGAGTGCTATCAAGCTTGTCTGTCTGGGCATAGCCACAGGACTTTAATACATCACAGGATGATAAAAACCACAAGATTGTAATGTAAGCTGTTACTTGTCCTGGTTTTCTTTAATGATGCCTGTGTCTGCATTGCCCTGTATGATGGATGCTATGGATTTAAATCAGCTGGCAACTGTGTTGTACAGTAGGATCTACTCAGATACCAGGCAGATCAAGTTGATGCCATTCCTTCTTAACTTGCCATATACTAATAAAAACTATGAATTTCTGAAAGCTTGTTTTCAGTTTGTGTGTGTAAACAGTATAGAAATTGCCAGCCAGAGGTAAACATGCTCTGGATTAGCAGCTGAAATTAAGGCAGCGTGGTTGCTTCAGAGAAGCTTAACCAGCTCTTAGAAATCTAAAATATTTATTTGTCTCCACCAGCCAAAAAGTCCTTGATAGTGTTTTGCTGGAAAAGGTTGAATCTTCAGAACTGCAACAGCGTGGCATGGTTGACACAAACAGTTGGTTCTTTAGGTCTATGCTGGAATCAGCTCCAGAAAATCAGTATTTGGTAACTTGACTGGGCAGTTATCTTGGAGAGAGGTGTCAGGCATAGGGTCTCCCTCTTGATGTGGCACAGCGGGCGCTTCAGCTCAAGCCTCACATGTCCTAATACAAAAAGTTAAGTTTTTTTAGAACCATTTTCTCATAATTTAATAGCTTTGTTCTCCATTATTTATACCGTGACAGGTCCAAATCCTGCTTCTGAGATAGCAACACATTTGTGCTGTTTACAGGCTTAAAATGGTAGGAAAATCACAGCACTGTTTATGTCCTGGAAATGTCTGTCGGTAGTGATTCCCTAGTTAGCCATGGCATTTCACAGCTGGAAGGAGCGACAGCACCATTTGCCTGGGTGATGTAACAGAAAAAGTAAATCTGTCCAAGTTAGCAAGCAAGACCGACTTTTTAAATTGGATGAAGATGCTGAGTTTGGGGCAGGAAGGAAAAAAAATAAGGAAGCAGCAGCCAAATGTAAGAATATTAATCATAAGCCATATTCTTACCTGAAATGCTAGGGTCTTCATGATTGACATAGTTCCTCTGCAAGTCCTATGTTTTGTCTGCTTCACCTCATGTAGTACTTACAACATCTGGTTTCTACTCTACTGGCTCCGGCTTACTGTGTTGGGTCAGTCCTGTAATATAGATCTTTAAAGTCTGAGATCAGTTTTCTTGATTTATTGTTCAGGTTCAATTTGAACACAATGGATCTAAAACTCAAGGCTTCCTTTAGTGGGAAGAAAATCACCAAAACAGTCTTTTTCCCCCCCCACATTGCTGAATGTTTTAAATGTATTGAAATAGATGATGGTAAATTACATTAGATGTATAATGAGACTTTCTCTCATTAAATTCATGATGTGGGGAGATTCCTTAAGGCTGTGGACTGTACCATATTTGAACTTCGGAAGGATGGAAGCAGTAAAGTCTGCTGATGGAGCAAGATGCTGTCATGCTCTGAATCTCAGAAGAACCTCGTTATTAGGTAGTGCTGTTGACACTGTGACACTTCTGGGAGGTCGGAAGGTTCCTGCAGCCACAAAGGCACAGAATTTTTCTCCTCCCAGTAACTTCATAGCAAGTTTTTAAAGTCTGTTAGGGAGTGTCCTATAAAAATATAAAGCTCAAGCACTCCTGTGGGCACACTGTGTGGTATCTTAGTATTAGTTGTTGTTGTTGTTCTTGTTATTGTTCTGAGTTCACTGAAACCCCTTAAGGGAGTACCAGTCTGCGAGAGAAGAAGAGTTACTAAGTATCCTTCATTAATACTAAGCATTTGTTCTAATTCCCTCTGGTCCTGCTCACTCCCATCCACTGTTTTTCAGTTTTTACATCTCTTAAGGTTTATGTCAAGCCAGTGAAATCCATCTCTCTTTTTAAACCCCTTCTTTCACTGCTGGATTACAGAGGTTATAAAGGGTTCTCCCTCTTGGTTTTCAGTGGGGAGAGTTAAGGAGGGCTGCTGAGAATGCAGCGATGAAGAATTTCACCTTTATGTGTCTCTGAACTAGGTGTTTATTCCACCAGTTCTGACTACAGGGATTACTGTGCGTGCTCCTCACCTTACCTGCAGATTGCCTTCTAGCTGGAGCTCTCCCGTGTTCAAACCTGTGACTTGGACCTCTGCCATGTCAGAGCTGGCAGGCTCCTGCCAAACAGACCAACCTCCTGCTGTCAATACAGGCTGAACGGTGAAGTTTTGAAGTGAAGCAGACTGAATCCTCGAGAAATACAATTGTGCACCTTCGCTTCCCACCCACATCTGTCCACAAAGAGTAGGCAAAAATTGGGCATGGCCTTTTCAGAGGAGGTTATCTAATTGTCCCATTAGTCAACACAGTTGACTATAAATGTTATATAAATGTTGTCTTGACTTCTAGACAAAATGAAAGCTTGAACTAATGTTTCAAATACTCTTGGACTTATTTTCTTACTGCCTTGGATGCTTAACTCTGAAACCTAATAGCAGAAGAAAACAATTATTTTATTCTTTTAATGCTGCTTCTGGTAGCAGAAGTGATCAGCCAACATTCTTATTC